ACACACACACACACACACACACACACACACACACACACACACACACAAAAGATTGAGTCTATACTGAATATATGCAAACTTTTTTTTCTGGTCCTTACTCCCTAAACAATACAGTCTAACTATTTATATAGCAATTATATATTTGCATTAGGTATCACAAGTAAGCTAGAGATGATTTGAAGTATATGGGAAGATGGACATAGGTTGTACGCAAATGCTACGCAGTTTTATCAGAATGTCGCAGATTTTCAGATATCAGTGAGGGCCCTGGAATCAATTCCCCACAAACACCAAGGGATGAGTGTGCTTTTCTCTGTCTGTTTTTTGTTCTTCCAGTAGAGTCCCAGGTAATGTGACTAGAAGTATTTGAGGTCAACAGCCCAACACAGAGCAGCCGCTGTGGTTCATATGGGGCGACAGAAATGTCATCTTTTAGCAGAAGGATGTGCCACTTTTCCCTTTTACACTAAACCTTTTATGTTCATTAAATTTTTATTTTATTTATTATTTGATTTGGCTTCAATTTTATATACCAAGGGACAACTATAGCAACTTTCTTCATATAAGTGCACAGTATCTATGGTGGAGTAAAAAATAAAGATTAAAAGGAATCTGACACACTCCAAAAACCCATGAATGTAGACTGTTCTTTTTCTTTTCTTCTTACCTATTCCCTTACTCTAGCCCTTCCTCCCCTATTTTTTTTTCTGATTTGGGGTCTCACTCTACTGCCCAGGCTGCAGTACAGTGGCATGATCACAGCTCACCACAGCCTCAATCTCTTGGGTTCAGGTGATCTTTCTGCCTCAGCCTTCCAAGTAGTTGAGACTACAGGTGCATGCCACCATGCTAATTTTTGTAGTTTCTGTAGAGATGGGGTCTTGCTACATTGCTGAGGTTGTTATCAAACTCCTGGGCTCAAGAGATTCTTCTACCTCATCCCCCCAAAGTGCTGGGACTACAGACATGAGCCACCGCCCCTGGTCAACCTCCCCTAATTTTGAATTTCCAGTCCTCACAGAGCAGTGTTAATGTGAATATTTACAACAAAGCACTACAGCAGGAAGAACATCCTACTGTTCAGCACAGCAGAAAAAGAAGTACCTCATAAATAAAGAAATGACAGAAACTAAAATCAGACACTCTGGAGTCAGACAGGAATGGTTTCACATGCAGGGTCTAACACTATAACCTTAATTAAGTTTTTAATCTACCTGAACCTTAGTTTCCTCAACAGTAAAACACCAATAAATAGTAAACTTTTTTGCTACTGAAAGTAAAATTTGAAGTCAGAAGACAGAGGTTCAGGTTCCAGTTATGTCCCCTAATCACATGACATCAGGGAAGTAATAGAACCTCTGGAAACCCCAGTTTTTTCATTTATGAAAGATAGACGAAACCAGGCATGGTGGCTCATGCCTGTAATCCTAGCACTTTCGGAGGCTGAGGCTGGAGGACTGCTTTAGCTGAAGAGTTCAAGACCAGCCTAGGCAACATAGCAAGACCTTGTCTCTACAAACAAAAAAAATGTTAGCTGAATGTGGTGGTGCATGCCTGTACTCCCAGCTACTCAGGAGGCTGAGGCAAAAAGATCGCCTGAACCAAGGAGGTAGAGGTTGCGGTGAGCCATGATTGTGCCACTGCACTCCAGCCTGGGCAACAGGGTGAGACCCTGACTCAAAAAAAAAAAAAAAAAAGGATAAAAATGTATCTTTGTCATGATTACATGTTTGGAGGGTACAAGCCTCCACCCCCCAAAAATGACTTCTGTTAAAATCCTTTCTAATCTATAAAGAATTTTGTAAGTGTGAGTTTTACTAATAAAATAACCATATTAGAAAATAAAATCTAAAAGGAGAAAAAAAAAAAAACTACAAACAATGACATGCCCATAAATTTCCAGGGAAATAAGAAAGAACAGATGGTCATTACTTTTCAATCTGTGTGTTACAACTTTTCTGACCTAAAAAAAAGCATTGTATCATGAGGAAGAAAGATGATGACCTCTGCAAATTAAGCATAAAGGAAGCAGCACCATTACTTGCCATAAATAACTCCTCATTGATGCCGAGATACTTTCCATTTCCACATCCAATATCAGCCACTATGGACCCACTTGGCAGAGCCTTCAGAAATGCCACGATGTGTGGCCAAGGGCTGTGTCTCGTGCTGCTGAAGTGTCCGGCAATCTCCTCATAAACGCGATGGACATACTCCTGCTCCAGCTGGCAGGCTTCCTTGTCACTCTCTGGAAACGAGGGAGGACGCTCTTTCCTCTGGTTATCACAGACCCAAGGGTAACCTAAAGGAAAAAACAAAGCTATGTATGTCTTTAGTCTTTTTTCCAAATGACTCACAAGGTATCAGTTTTCTTAAAAAAAAAAAAGGAAATCAAAGCAAATTTGGTGACTGGGGATATCAGTTGGAAGAAAAAAAAGCTCTTCCCTAACAAATCTTCACAAGAATTATAATATCTGTAAGAGGTCTCACATAAAAAAGATTTTTGTGGGTGGTTTTCTAGGGAATAAAGGGAGGAGTAGTAATACTTCTGAGAAATCGCAGACAAGACTAAGAAAATATTCTACAAAAATTCTACAAAAAAGATACTGCACACACATATTTATTGCCACACTATTCACAACAGCAAAAACATGGAACCAACCGTGCTGCCCATTGAGACTGGGCTGGATAAAAAAATGTGGTGTGTATACACAATGGAATATTATGCAGCCATAAAGATGGACAAACATATGGACTTTGCAGCCACTTAGATGGATTTAGAGTCTATCATACTCAGTGATCTCTCACAGAAACAAAGAACAGAGAACCACATGTTCTCACTCATAAGCAAACCTTGAATATTTACCATAATACTATAAGAAAGAGATTGGCAGTAGTGGGTACTGCCAGGGTGGGGGTGGTGGAGACACAACATCAATAAGGATACCTGATCTCAAATTACGCAAAATGAGGACCAAAGGGAGGCCCAAACTTTACCCGTACAATGACCACTTGTATACCTAATCCTGAATTGTACCCCATATTTTTAAAATAAAAATTTTCTAAAAAGACAAAGGTATTAACTAGAAATCCCACAACACTGAAGAATTCGGCAGCAATGTAGATGACTTTAGGAATAAACAGAAAGCAAACCTCTTTTCGCTAAAGATAACAAGAGTATGCCAAAACTCGAGAAAGCATAAAATGGGGATGGGAGTATCTCATCCCTATTAATGGGTTATAAGAAATTCTAAACATTTGTAATGGATTTTTAGAAAAAAAACAGTCCCCAAAGCTTGAGGGCTCTAAAACATACATGTGGAAGCAGAGGGGTTGCATTGTGTTGGTTAAATGAAAATTATGATTATACTACAATACATATTATAATTATCCTAAACTGGTCTTAGTAAAATGTTATTTTCTTGGAAATTATTTAAGTTTTCTAAAGGGACAAGCAATTTTGTCACTTAAAAGTCTACACTTTTGACCGAAAGTATGCAAGAGATGATCTTTAACTTAAAAAACAAAACAAAAAACTCACTAATCATCAGGAAAATGCAAATGAAAACCACAAGATATCACCTCATATCTGATAGGAGGGGTATTATTAAAAAGACAAAAAAAATCACCTGTTGGTGAAGATGTGAAGAAAAGGGAACCCTTATACACTGTTGGTGGGAATGTAAATTAAATCAGTACAACCACTATGAAAAACAGTATGGAGGTTTCCCCAAAAATTAGAGATAAAGCTATCTTATGATCCAAAAATTCCACTACCAGGTATATATCCAATGGAGATGAAATTAGTATACTGAAATGACATCTGCATTTGGGAGTTAGAGGCTAGGGAGATGTTGGTCAAAAGATACCAAATTTCAGCTAGGTAGGAGGAATAAGTTCAAGAGATCTATTATACAACATGGTGACTATAGTTAACAACAACGTAATGTATTCTTGAAAATCCCTAAGAGAATAGATTTGAAGTATTCTCACCACAAAAAATTATAAATATATGAGGTAGTGCATATGTGAATCAGCTCTATTTAGCCATTCCAAAATGTATACATATTTCAAAATATTATGTTGTATATTATAAATATATACAATCAGTATTAACCAAAAAAAAAAAAAAAATCTGTAAGGTGAATACAGAGGTTTTATAAGAGCCTGCCATGGAGACCCGCCTGAGCGTTAGGGATCCAGGAGGGCTGCGGACCCTGATACCACCAGGTTGCGTTCAGGAGCTGAAGGCCCATTCCCTCCTCCCTTCTTTGTTGTTTGGCATGACCCACTAGCAGGGACTTTGATTATCTAAGCATGAAGTTCTGAGACCATGACAGGTATGGCTGACTCTAGGGATCCATTGTTCCCATTTCTCACAGACTGCGATTTCGGCTTTAAACTTAACACAGTTCAAACTCAGGTCACATTTGGGAGCCTTATATATGATACAAGCTTCTTTATAAGATTTAAAAGTATATTTGTCCAGCTTTAGATGGTATAGATGATTATCTAGAGTTGCCAGAAATGGCCCAGCACGAACTTTGGACTGGGCCACATTCCTAAAGGCCCAGCATCCACTTTGGGCTGGGCTGCATTCTTTTAAACCGGCTCTTTAGTTACAATTAGTGTAGGTTTTTTCTACTTATAATAGAAACCGAATTTATTTTATTCATAGAAAGTATTTTAGAATAGGTCATGCTACATCAGGGAATTATGTTATTCCAAGCATGATCAAACATGATACTTTGAGGTTTTATAAGAATACAGCTAACTTTAGAAATTTCACTGTTCCCACTTTCTACTAATTGCAGTTTTGGCTTTAGTACAATTACAGTTTGTATTTGGGTTTTATTTTAGAAGGTTTATTGCTGATGATCAGCTTTATATATTAGGATTAGGAATTAGAAACTTTTATAGAAATTAAGATAGATACATAGGATTTTTTCTTTGAGTTGGAGTCTCACTCTGTCGCCCAGGCTGGAGTGCAGTGGCCGCTCCCGGCCACCGCAGCCTCGACCTGCTGGGCTCCGGCGATCCTTCCGCATTACCTTCCAGGTAGCCGGAATTACAGGTGCGTGCTACCACGCCCAGCTAATTTTTTGATTTATTGTAGAGATGAGGTCTTGCTGCCCAGGCAGGTCTCGAACCCACAGGCTCAGGCAATCCACTCACCTCAGCCTCCCAAAGGCACGGGATTACAGGCTGAGCCACCGAGCCTGGCTTAGAATAGTCATTTTGTTAAGAGATTATAATCAATTGTTCTTGGAAACTGCCCAGCATGATCTTTGGACTGGGTCACATTCTTTAGGAACTGGTTTGAGCTATAATTAAGAGTTTTTTATAGTACAGGTAAAATTAGCACAGAATAGAAAGGTATTAAGATTTAAGTCAGTCATTAGGTATTGGGAATGCATACGTTTTAGAAGTTATTGATTATTAGAATATTATGATGTTAGAATTGCACTGTTTGTGAGGAACATTAACCAAGCATAAGGAACAGTGAAATAATATTCGGATTGTCCTTCCTCATGCTTGAGGAAACACCTGGTGGGTGGGGAGACGCCCCTCATCCACCTGGCTTTGTGTTCATGTGAAAATCTTGTGATCTTGCCTATGAAACTTTAGGATAAAAGGTACAGTTTGCCTCATTAAATCGGCTTCTGCTCATTTCACTGAACAGTTGTCCACTTTCTTTCTTTCTCTTTCTTCCTCTTTATATCTCTCCCTCCATCTTTCTTTCTTTTAATATCTATCCCTACTACAGAATCGGCTTCTGCACTAGACAGAGTCCAGTCTCTTTCTTTCTCCCCCTTCTCTTTCTTTCTCTTTATTTCTCCAGAATAATAACCGACGCTGCCCCACCTTCCAGGGACCCTCTAAATCTCTCTGCAGGGGCTGGTCCCCCAGTGGGAGCTTTTATACATTTAATAAGTGCCCATAACAAAAATTATTTATGTGAGAAAACTAGTTGGTCTCCCCCACTAGATTTTAAGTTCCTTGATAACAGGAGTCACATTTTTTAATACCTTATAAAGCTACCAATAGTGTTAGACACTCATCAAATACTAAATAAATATTTCTTTAATTAATTTTTTTAAAAATTAAGCCCGGACAACATGGTGAGACTCCATCTCAACCAAAAAAAAAAACTCTTTTAAATTAGCCAGGCATAATGGTATGTGCCTATAGTCCTGGCTACTTGAAAAGGCTGAGGTGGGAAAAATCACTTGAGCCCAGGAGTTTGTGGCTGCAGTGAGCTATGACTGCACCACTGCACTCCAGCCTGGGCAACAGAGCAAGATCCTTTCTCAAAAAGCAAGCAAACAAAAATTAACATTTCAAGGCCTTGAGGACACTTTTAGCAAAATAAAAACTTGTTTTAAGCTTCACTAACATCAAGATATCAAATATAGAGATTTCAAGTTATCTAAGACAACATCTTGCAGACATAAGGGTTTATCATTTGAAATGTTTTTAAGATTATGACTAAATCCAAAAGCTATTGGTAGATACCACCCATAATTAAAAGCCACAGGATATGAAAAGGATCATATTATCACTATGATTATAAACTCAGGGCATGACGTACATGCATGGAAAATTCCAAACAGCACCCTCTCGACCAGTTTTTGAGCAGCTCTTATTTCCCTCCAGGTTTTCAAATGAACTAAAGCATAAACCGCAGGTAATCTCCCAGAGTTATCTACCATAGGAAGCATTCTCCAGATCCAACTTTCCTGTTGGGTTGATAAGAAGTCATTTAGAAACTTGACAAGCTGTTCCCAGCAAAACCTACTTTGAGATTTTATTGTCCTGCAACTGTATAGCAGCATTCTTAACTGTTACCTCAATAAGCAAAACATTTATCTGGTACCCAACAATGCTCAAGTACTAAGTCTTGGAAAAATACAGATGATAAGTTCCAGGTCCTACCTTCAAAGACTGTAAATTCTAATGAGGGTGGTTAAGAAAAGTATATGAAATATAATACAAGGCAAAATATGGGAAATGCCATTAGAGAAGTTAAAAAAAAAAGCAGCTCTCCTAGGTGTTGATGGGACCTTAAAGGATTTTCATACTAGATTTATTCCATTTTACAGGAGAAACAAAATTGTCTACTTACTACAGTTACAAGGTGTTCGCCTCACTCTCCTGAATGTAAATGATGTTCGTACTCCCCTCTTGCTTAAAGTCAAGTCTCCAACGTCACTGGTGACAATTCCACTTTTGTGACCCTCAGATGCTTGAACAGTATCAAATTTTCTGGGTGTGATTCTAAAAACAAGTCAAAATAATCTACTTAACATTATATAGATAAAAAATATTTCAGGTCTCTTAAAATATTAAGGGAATAGAGCAAATCTAGAAGAATGTATTACAAATATTTATTGGATTTTCTGGATGTTTAGGCATTGTGGAAAAAATAAAGAAACAGAAGAATTTAAGGAAATTATCTTGAGGGTAATAATATTAAAAGAATGTACAAATGAAGCAATAACAAATATTTCATTAATATCAATTCCAAAAAAAGAAATAGCAGATGAGGCCAAGAAGAAACATATAGATGGTAAATTCAAATTCAATATCAATAATTATGTTAAGGGTAAAAGAACTAAAACTGCAATTAAAGAACAAAGATTGCTGGACCTGATCATAAAAATCAAATCCAACAACATGGTGATTACAAAAGGCACACCTTGACCATTTTGTTCACCCCACCCCAAAAAAGACACACCTTAACTATAAGCACAGAAAATGACTGAAAATAAAAAGATAGAAATATATACACTGAGGGGGAACCCAAAAAAAACCTGAAATTTTTAAATAATAGATTGTGTATTTAGTCTTACATATGTAAACTGTAGTCACATTCAAAGTACTCTTTGTTGGATGCAATACGCCTATTGAAGTGTTTTCCACTGCTCAGTGTTTGAACTCATCAGTTTGGATGCCTTTCAGTGCTTCTGCCATTGTGTGTCTCACCTCTTCCGTGTCAGCAAAACGTTTCCCTTTGAGGACTTGTTTTCATCGAGGGAAACAGAAAAAAAGGCACTCGGGGCAAGATCAGGTGAATAGGGAGGGTGGAACACAAGGGTCACGCCATTTAGGTCAAAAACTGCTGAGCACCTAGTGTGGTGTAAGCAGATACGTCATCATGGAGGAAGAACCAGTTACCTGTTTGCCAGAACTCAGTACGTTTCACCTGCAAATCATAACGCAATCTTTGAAACACTTCCAGGAAAAAAAACTTCGGTTGACTGTTCTGGAAAAACAAATTCTTAGTGTAGTACAAGGGGCTTGCCTTCCAAAGCTAATTCCAGTTTTTGGGGTCCTCAATATATATGTACACACACACACACACACACACACACACACACACACACACACACACAGAAAACTGATATCTTAACATTATTAAGTTTCCTATCCATGACCATAGCATCTGTATCTCTATTTATTTTGGTTTCCTTTAATTTCTTTCAGTAATGTTTCATAAATTTCATTGTATGTATGATGCATATCTTTTTAAAGTTTATTCCTCAGTCAGGCATGGTGGTTCATGGCTATAATCCCAGGACTTTGGGACGCCAAGGCAGGAGAACTGCTTGAGCCCAGGAATTGCCACTGCATTCCAGCCTGGACAACAGAGTAAGACCCCAACTCAATAAATACATATATATATATATATATATATATATATATATATACATAAAATGTATTCCTAAGATTCAGACCTTCTTAGGTCACGTTTTCTGCTTGATTTACTCTAGCAAGGTTATCTCCCTTAAGAAACAGGTTTCATATTCACATATTCACAGGGAATTTTTAAGCCTAAAAGATTAAGCAAATTATATAGAAATACAATTTTATACTTAAGTTGTTGAAACATCCTTACTAAGAGCTACATTAAAAAGTTTTTATAGAGAATACAGAAAAGGGGAAAGTCACCATAGTACTAAAATTAATTTTCTCCTAAAATTAAAAATATAATGTATATCAATCCTCAATTTTCATTTCATTGTTGCTATATTGTTTCACTCCATTTGTTGTTAGAAACAGTATGCCCAACCTGATTGCTTTTTAAATCACACCACGATTAACTGTGAATATTGAAAAGGAAACATTTAATGGGTCTTAATGCTATTTTGAACAGCAATTTAATTTCATTTTCCAAAAATTAATTTCTAAACATCGACCTTATATGCTAATAAATTCATTTATTAGTTCTAGAACTTGTTTTGTAGATTTCCTAGGGTATTCTACATCCACAGTAATGTAATTCACAAATAGAGAGTGTTATTATTTCTTTCAAATCTTATGATTTTATTTGATTTCTCATACTGGCTAAGATATCCCATATAGCATTAAATAGAAATGGTGAGAGTAGACATCCCTGACTCATTCAGTATCTAAGGAAAAACCATTTCATTTCACCATTAAGTATGAGGTTAGCTATGGGTTTTTTACGGATACTCTTTACCAAATCAGAGACGTGCCTTTCAGTCCTAGTCTGCTGAGTTTCTAGCACAAATGGGTACTGAATTTTGTCAAATACATTTTCTGCATCAGTCAGAATGGTTTTTTTCTCCTTTATTCTTTTAACGTGTTGAATTACATTGATTGATTTTGAAATGTTAAACCAACCTTGCAATACTGGCATAAACTCCACTCAGTTATAACATAGTTTCTCTTTTCTATATTGCAGGATTGTACTTTCTGATGTTTTGTTAAAGACTTTCTTATCTCTGATATGAGAAATATTTATAACTTTTTTCTTTTCTATATATTGCAGGATTGGACTTTCTGATGTTTTGTTAAAGATTTTCTTTTCTCTGACATGATAAATATTGGCTTGTAATTTTCTTTTATTGTAATATCCTTGACATAGTTTGGCATCAGGGGTAATTCCAACCTCATAAAACAAGTTAGGAGCATGGCTCTTTAAAAAAAAAAAAAGAAAGAAAGAAAGAAAGAAAGAACAAACAAAAAGAAAAACTTGTGCTAAAGGCAATTTTTCTAGTGGTAAAAGAAAGCAATCATTGACTGAACTTATATTATTGTTACTCTAATAGCTGAAAATGATTCACACTATGGTGTTGAACAAAGTCAAAGTATTTTAGAAGAATGAGTGTCTTGAACCTCTTGTTATCAAACCAATAACCCTCTTGGAGACTAAGTGTCTCCCTATTATGGCTTTTTTAAGTCAATTACTTCACTTGCCTAAAGTTAGTTACATCTTAGGTAAAGGCCAAGCAGTTCTCAATGGTTTTTGTAACAATTTCAGATTTCTTGGTACAGGTAACCCATACGTTAAAATAATGATTTCTTTAAACATCACTAAACATCTTTTTTCCCCTGTACTCACATTATAATCAAGTGGGAAAATATTCAGTAAAAAGATCTGTATAGATTTAAGTAACAATTCAACATAATAGAAAAAACATCTCAAGGTAGTAGAATACTATACAGTCTTTAAAAGTTAAGAAGATAAGGATAAATTATTTCAAGTTAACGTAGTCAGGAAAAACTTCACACATTATGAAGGAAGTAAAAGAGTTGTATCTTAAAAACAGAATGGGTTGGCTAAAGTGTGAAGGCCAGAAGGCCCAGCATAAGTTCAGAGGAAAGGGAGTAAACACGTTTAGCTGCACAGCATGGTTAAGAACACAGATCCTGAAGGCAGACTGCTTGGCTTTGATCCTCTGCCACTTACTGCTTTGTGACTTTGTACATGTGACTTCTTTATGCTCCAATTTCCTTTAAAAATGAAAGCCATGAAACCAGCTTCCCCTGTCATAACATGAGTTAAATGAGTTAATATATGTAAGGAGTTAGAACCATGAGAGGCACAAAAACAATGCCCAGAAATAACCGAAAAGGAAAGTTCACATAATCTCATGAAAGGATGCCTCCTGAGGCAGTCAGATGACATACATGAGGCAGGTGAATCTGTTTAGAAATATTTTTTTTGTAGGCTGGGCGCAGTGGCTCATGCCTATAGTCCCAGCACTCTGGGAGGCTGAGGAGAGAGAATTGCCTGAGCCCACAGGTTTGAGACCAGCCTGGGAAACTTGGCAAAGCCTCATCTTTATAATAAATCAAAAAATTAGCCAGGTGTGGTGGCGCGTGCCTGTAGTCCCAGTTACTTGGAAGGTTGAGGTGGAAGGATCACCTAAGCCCAGCAGGTTGAGGCTGCAGTGGCCATGAGTGTGCCACTGCACTGCAGCCTGGGTGACAGAGGGAGAAAAAGAAAGAAAGAAAGAAAGAGAGAGAAAGAGAGAAAGAGAGACAGAGAGACAGACAGAGACAGAGAGAGAGAAAGAGAGAGAAAGAAAGAAAGAAAGAAAGAAAGAAAGAAAGAAAGAAAAGAAAGAAAGAAAAAGAAAGAAAGATTTTGTTTGTCATTAAACACATAGGAATAGTCTTCATTTAAATAAAAAAAAAAAAAAGCATTGTGTTCTCTTCCATTTTTCCAAAAACACATATTCTCACTCAGGAGCGATTTCCATTTCCTACTTTGTGATACAGGCATCAGTTCAAGAAATATTCAATTTTCACTTCACTCTGCTCTAAGATTTTTTAAATAGTACAAGCACAAAGCTAAATGACAACTGACACTCAGCCCAGGCTCAAGGAGCAACAGAAAGGGGTGGAACTGCAGGGATCTGGAGAAGTGGAATCCATCTATAGCATGACAGTGACGTCAGTCTCAGTCACTGCTGCCCAGAAATACGAAGGCCCGGTGTCGTCAGATCGTCTCAGTTTTCAAGAGAAGCCAAAAATTAAGATTTTTATGTGAAAGGTGATTTTATATGCAAAAAAATCCCCCCCCAAAAAAACCGCCCCAAAAAAACCGCCAAATAGAATACACCTGATTGTTAAGTTTACCTTTGATTGCAGACATGGTATCTAGAATAGTAAATCTGAACTTGATCAAATTAAAGTCAGATGGAGGTGTCTGGAATTAATATGATAGGGCAGTGTTAACCTTTTTCAATCCATGTCTGTCTACAGTGCTTTCTAGTGCTTTTGATTTTCAGCACAGAAATCAAAAAGTTTATTGTGGCTTATCTCTTATAGTTTATACATTTTCAAGTGTATTAAATATGCTTTTCCAATCAATTCTCTCTTCCACCCAAAGACTCTATATGTGTTTGATCTCGCTCTCTCTCTCTCTCTCCCTCCCCTCTCCCCTAGTCTCACTGCCTCCTTGCCGCCTTCATTTCTCCATCTCTCTCTCTTCCTAACACAGACAAAAATACACACGCAATCATACAAAGTTACAGTAAAAGCAATGGGTATCAACAGCAGTCTTCAAAAATAATATTGAGGTTCCCCCCCCGAAAATACTGTAGAGAATTTTTATTCCAGAGCAAGGATTAAAAATAAATATTACCTATAATCTATCTTTCCAGAGATAACTATTAGTAAGATTCAATCACATAGCATGCTTTCACCAAGAGAATAATATGATCAAAATGGTGTTTTAGGATAATTAATCTGTGCTGCTACCAAGAATAGACTAAAATATTTTCATAATAGGTACATGAAAAGTAATTTCTTATTTTACATTTGCTTAATCCAATTACTCGTAAGAGTATAATTAAGAGTAATACAGTTACTTTTAAGAGTAAACATTAGTGATAACAAAAATGCTTGAACCCAAAAAAGAAAATGTGATTATTCTTAAAATTACAAGAATACTTGAAAAAAAAGATCACATCACCATTTTCATTTATTTTAAGTGAAAATATTTTAACGGTCATAAAAAAAATCATTTTATGGTTCATATTTAGGACAGGTTACAAATGCATTTACGTGTTCATTTCCTTGAATTTTAATAAAAATTTGTCAGCAAAAATCTCCAAGCAGAACAGAATTCATAAGCACAGAACTTGGCAGTATTTTAAGTGACAATATACATACATTTCAGCAGTGTCACGGTCTCTTCTCAGAAGGCTATACAGGTATTCCTACCAAAAGCACACACCCATTTCTTTAGACTTTGATTAAATCAGACAAACTCAAATTGAGAAACATTCTGCAACACAACTGGCCTCCTCAAAAGAGTCAATGTCGTGAAGAACAAAGAAAAGCTGAGGAACTATTTCAAATAAAAGACTACACAGAAATGACAAGTAAACATAATGTCAGATCATGAATTGACTCCTGGATCAGAGAGTTTAAAGTCCTTTAGCAATATCTGAATATAGATTAATAAAGAGTATAATAAGAGTACTTTATCAATGTTGAATTTCCTGAGTTTGAGGACTGCACGGTGGTTTTGTAGAACAGGGTTGGCAAACTTATTCTATAAAGGCACAGTAGTAAATATTATAGGCATTGAGGGCCACATATAGCCTCTGCCAGATATTCTTCACTTTTTTTTTTTTCACAGCCTTTTAAAATTGTAAAAACCATTCTTAGTTCTCTCGAATGGTCTCTCTTTTGTACAAAAACAGACTGAGAGCTGAATGTGGTGCCATCACCAGAGACTGCCAAGCCAACATAGACAATGTCCTTGTTCTTAGGAAAGACAATGAAGCACGTAAGGGTAAAGGGCCACGATATTTGTCATTTACTTTAAATGATTCAGCGAAAGTAATGATGATAACGTAAGTGAGAAAAATAAAAGATGTGGCAAAATGTTGGTAGATGCAGGTGAAAAGTGAAAGCTATTTACTGTACTATGCTTGCTACTTGGTTTGAAGCTTAAATTTTCTTCAAAATAAAAAGGGAATGTTTTAAAAACATATAGGTGCCCCAGGAGGTTTGAACCCAAAAGTCTCAATGTGCAGGCATAGGGCATGGCTCCAGTGACTTGGAGAAAGATGAGACGTCGCACAAGGCAAAAGGTATCCGGATTGTCAATGATATTGTTGATACATACCCATGAGTCCAAAGGTATCTAGATTCTCCTGTCATCACCAGCAAACTCCGACGAGGCAACATAACTGGCACTGTGACACCATCTGGGTGCTTAAAGTCCATGACGATCTTGAAGCAATAACAAGAGCATAAAAATCAACCCAAAATGTCATGTACTCCAAGGACAAGAGTGATTGAGCCTGGCATCTTTCTAGGCTGACCAAGATTAAAGCATGATAATGCTTACGGAACAGTATGGCATAGTGGTTCTCAAACTTAAATGCATATGAGAATCAACTGCATAACGACAAAAAAAAAACTTCATCCACAAAGATTCAAACTCAGCAGGTACGGAGTAAGGCCCAAAAATCTACATTTCTAACAGTAGGTCTAAGAAATTATGAACAGGTGATCTGAGGATCACACCATGGAAAACCCTGGGGTAGTGGTCAGACACAGGGACTTTGGCACTGAACCTCTCATTTCTTGGGTTTTCGTTTCCTAGCCATGTGACCCAGGACAAGCCATTCAACTCCTCTCCATGCCTTGGCTTTCTCAACTCGCAGAGGGTGGCCGCATGAATTAAATATATAATGGATATTAATCACAGTACCCAGCACCATAGTAAATATACAAAAAAGTAGCCATATTTAAATTATTCATAAAATGTTAATAATTAATTAACAATCCAAGGAGAAATAACTATTAAATACAGATTCTCATATCATCTACTTTGTATCTTTAAAGCCATGAAAAATACTAGAATTAGAGACTGATTAATAAGAGATAAAACAGGAACATTTTCAGCTACTTTTTCTAAGTCATACTCGAATTTTATTCTAAATTGTGACCTGTAAAGTTACAATACCCAAGAAAATGGGTCTTCCTAGAAACTCAACAAACAACGAAGACTTCTAAAAGTAGCAGCAATCTGAGAATAAAATAATGGGTATAAAAAATAAGCCGGGTTCGGTGGCTCAGCCAGTAATCCCGCACTTTGGGAGGCTGAGGTGAGTGAATTGCCTGAGCCCGCGGGTTCAAGACCCGCCTGGGCAACTTGGCAAGACCTCATTTCTACGATAAATCAAAAATTAGCCGGGCGTGGTAGCGCGCGCCTGTAGTTCCAGCTACTTGGAAGGCTGAGGCGGAAGGATCCCTGGAGCCCAGCAGGTCGAGGCTGCGGTGGCCGGGAGTGGCCACTGAACTCCAGTCTGGGTGACAGGGTGAGACTCCAACTCAAAAAAATAAATAAATAAATAAATAAAAAGAGCAGCAGTTGACAAATGTAAATTTAAAAGCCATACCACAGGACTGAAAATATTTTTTAAGTGAGCAAATCAACCCATTTAAAAACTAAATATGACAACTAAGTATAAGGGTTATGAAAATAATTTAGCATACTACATTCCTTAAAGATAAACTTAGCACAGTGCCTGGCACAAAGTAAGCATTAAATAAATATTAGCTACTATTATTAATAATAATAATATTAGATCAAATTAGATAACACACATGAAACTTCTCTGTACACTATAAAATAATTATATTATACAGTCTAAGCTGTTTTTTCCCTTTCTAACCTATCCTTCCAATCTACGTATAGAAAATAAAGTAAGATGATAGAATTTAATTTCCCTATAGTTATTAGTTCCAAATGTCCACATATAATGCACATAGTCACACTCTAAAATCATTCATTTATAAACACTGCAATTAATTCTGGAGGTTTTTAGAGATGAAATGTACTGATACCTGCAACTTTCTTGAAATGTATAAATAAAAGAAGACAGACTAATAAACAGAGGGTTGAAAAGATGGATAAATATTTCCTAAAGCAAGTATATTGAAATACTAATTATAGAATTTAGGTAGTGAATATATAGGTATTTACTGTGTAATTATTTAACTTTTCTGTATAAAAATGTTCATAATAAATTGTTGGGGGAAAGAGAGAGGAAAGCCACTGTGGTCTGACTTTAAACCAATGTATATGGATTTCAATTTTCTTAATAGAAAATAAGGTCCACACAGGAATGAATAACAAGCATATTTATTATTGTATTAAAGACAGTCACCTGTGGCTTAAAGGAAATCCATATGCAGAAAAAACCGTCATGATGGGAAAATACCTAGAAGACTAGATTCTAATTCGTTCATAAAACAAATACTTATTATCCATTGTGTGAGATGCAGCAGGCTATACCAGTGAGTAAGAGAGACAGGCTCTCTGACTACCTAGAGGTCACAGTCTCTGGCTAATATTCAACCTGTTTTGCACAATACCTAGCTATGTGTGAAATTCAAATATGTTCTCCCTATCGACAGAAAGTAATGATTTTCAAATAAGAAAATTTCAGTTTAAACAAATGAATAGAACTGACAAGAGAGGTATGAACATGACACTAATAATTTGGAAACTCTTGTCCTGACATACACAAGCCCAGTTTCAAGAAAGAAAAACACACAACCAAATAAATCAAATGTTAGGAGAAGTATGTTTAAAATGTACAGAATATTTATTATTGATGATTAGTACTGATCTGTCCTCCCTGCTGACCTATTGAACACCTACTTTGTAAAACATTGTGTGACGGACTAGTCACAATTAGGTCAATTAGCTCACCTCACTCGTATTTTGTATCAAAATAGCAAAGCTATTCATTTATATTTCATTATGATCATGTGCCAGACATCAGAGTACAAAAAACTAAAGCCTTTACACATACACTGCAGATATTATTTCCCTAATATTGTTCTTAAAAAACTATTATGCAAATAATAATAAGCACAAATCCTCTACCTTTAATGTAAAAAAAAAAATTCCTATATAAAAATCATGTGATCATAATGACATAGGTTTTAAAATATATTTTGAAATGAATGAAGGAAATACAGAAAAGTATACAGAAAAAAAATACTCAACTTTCCAGATAATTATCACTACTAACATTCAGATCTACTTTTTTCCAATCTTTCTCTAGACATTTAAAAATTTATTTTATTTTATTTGTTTAAAGACAGGGTCTCACTATGTTGCCCAGGCTGGAGTCAAACTCCTGGGTCCAAGGGTTTCTCTCACCTTAACTTCCCAAGTTTCTGGGCACTCACCAGCATGCCCAGCCAAGATGTTTATGTAATTGAACATATATTTTTTATGGAATATGGCATCTTGCTATTTTTTTTTTTTTTTTTTTGAGTTGGAGTCTCACTCTGTTGCCCAGACTGGAGTGCAGTGGCCGCTCCCGGCCACCACAGCCTCGACCTGCTGGGCTCCGGCGATCCTTCCGCCTCAGCCTTCCAAGGAGCTGGAACTACAGGTGCGCGCTACCACGCCCAGCTAATTTTTTGATTTATTATAGAGATGAGGTCTTACCAAGTTGCCCAGGCAGGTCTTGAACCCGCGGGCTCAGGCAATCCATTCACCTCAGCCTCCCAAAAGGCATCTTGCTATTTGCACTAACATTATATGGTATAATAAACACTACTCATATTAATATCATTTTTCATGTCTGCAAAATATTCCATCAAATGGCTGTACCATAATTTACCTTTATACTGTATTGTCAGATATTTAAGATATTTATAATTTTTGTAATAAATAGTGTTTTAATGATGACTTAATAAACCCTCATCATAATTTCTCTTTTTCTTTTTTTGAGTTGGAATCCACTCTGTTGCTCAGGCTGAAGTGCAATGGCACGCTCACAGTCACTGCAGCCTTGACCTGCTGGGCTCAGGCAATCCTTCCACCTCCACCTCCCAAGTAGCTGGAACTACAGGCATGCGCCACCACACCTGGCTAATTTTTTATTTATTGTAGAGATGAGGTCTCGCCAAGTTGTCCAGGCTGGTCTTGAATCCCTGGGTTCAGGCAATCCTCTCACCTTATATGATTTTCTGTTTAAAATCTTGATTTCAAAAAATAAACCGTAAATTATTGCTTTAATTTGCAAATTGTTGCAAACCATTCTGAATTGTTACCTTTTCATTTCCGGTTACTGTGATGTGTTTCAGAAGTTTTCAGGGCCAGCTCCACTGGCATACAACCTGTGCCCAAGGCTCTATGGTCTGAAGGGCTCATGCTAAGTGTAATGCTCTGCTGTCACTGTCCCAAAATGCTCAACTTTATCTTTGAACCTGTGTTTTGCTAAATTAAGTCTGATGGACCAATGGAATGTATGCATGAGCAGAGGAGATATACAAAATATTCTTGTCCACAATTCCTTGAGGCCCACTTGGGTAATGTGTCCACAATTTCCTGTGATCATGGAATGTGTTTATTTCTACAACTGAGTGAGTGTGTACAATGACAGTCCAGAGAGGCCACCAAAACTTGCTTCGAATGCAGAGAAAAAACAACGGTGTTTTAAGAAATACAAGCAGCCAAGGAAACCTACCATCGCAGCCTTTCTAGCTCATGTGACTTCCCTGTATTGGCCACCTGCTTAACAATGAAAATGATGGCCCAGAAAGAAATGGAAAGAGAAGACAACCCGACAGGAGCTCAACAGAGCTAAAAGGGAGAACTCAGCTGCCATGTGTCAGAGTAGCTGATTAAAGCGACAAGCCACAAATGAAAGTTAATCACTTACTGTGGTAGTATAAGCAAGTGCCACCTCCCAAAGTGCAATTCTCCCCTGATAAAAGTCAACGGTGAGGGGGATCTCTGCAGACATGAGGATTATCTTACTGCCGAGGGAGCCTCAAACAAAAAACGGAACCCAGGGGTCAGGGTCAGGGTGAGGGGTTAAAAAGTAGGAATTCAAAAGGAACAACTACTAACTCAGAATAAAGAAAAGTGTCCTGGAGGTTCCCATTCCTCTCTGAACAAGGAGTCCTTGGCCGAGATGCCTGATGAGGACCTCAGCTAAAGGCCTCAGATCAAGAGACCCAGAAACGCAAAGAGGCCAAGAGCATGCCCGGCCAGGAGGGTCTGACTCCTTCACTGCGACTCTCCTCTGAGACTGTAACACCCTGGCTGTGCACCAAGTCTGGTGTGGGGAGGCCATCGGGTAAAGCCTTTGTAACTGCCTGGGGCCTGGCCTGAAAAAAATCACAGTATGTCTGCCTGAGCCAGACTCCTCACAACCCAGGGTTCCTTTTCTTCCATGCTTCCTTACTCATTAGTA